CCCGGGGGCCTCCGCCCCGGGCCGCCCCCTTCTCGCTGCTGCTGCTGCTGCTGCTGTTGCTGCTGCTGCTGCTGAGGGGGTGGCGGGGGCTGCTGGGCGACCAGGGCCGGAGGCTGCGGGAATGCAGGCGCAACCAGGTTTTAGGCTGCCGGGTAGGCTGCTGGCGGGGAACAGAGACAGCTAGTGGGGCTACCCTGACTCCTGGACCCTCCCGCCAGCCCTGTCTCCCTTCCCATAGCCCAGCCCAAAGGATTTCCGCCCCTTAGCCCAGCAAGGTCAGGGAAGGAGCTGCCTCCGACCTCTGAGGGTACACCCCTAAAGATCCACACAGCTGTCTGTAAAGCGTGAGGAGGTGGCTGGCTGAAGCCCAGAACCCCAGACCCAGTGTCTGGGCCCTTCTCTTGTCACCCTCCCACTGGGCAGGGGCCTGGCCCAGGTGCCTCACCTGTGTAGTGCTGCATGCCCGCGTAGGCCTGCTGCAGCGGGTCCACAGGGGCCGCGGGGCTCTGGGCTGGGGAGAGCAGCACTGAGCATGAGCGCGGGCCTGGCCGCAGTGGGAGCACCTCTGTGTGAGGCTGCCTGATGGGGAGGAGGGCCTTGCCGGGCAGGTGTGCAGGGTGAAGCGAGAAGGTGGAAATACGCAGAGCAGGGGAAGAAGAGCAAGAGCCCAGCGCTAGGAGGCCTTGAGCCTGAGACTGGCTTGCAACCCTGGACAGGAGTCACTCCACTTCTCTGAGCCTCAGTTTCCCTGGCCAGACTGATGGGCAGGAGGTGGCCCTGGAACCCTGAAGGCTGGGGAGGGAACATGTGTCCTGGCTGCCAGCAAGGGGGCGGTGGCTTGGATGCTGTGGGTCTGGGATAGGCAGGCAGAGGGCCCCACCTGGGTAGGGGTGGACCCCGTTGGGATACAGAGCATCAGGGGCAGGCTGCCCAGTGGGCTGGGTGGGCACCGGGCTGTAGCCGTTGACACCCAGGGCAGCAGGGATGGCAGAGACGGGCGTGGCAGCGATGGCAGGAGGGGTGCTGGTTCCTGGGGAGGAGAAAGTCACAGAGACAGAGCAGAGAGGGAGACACGCTCAGATGCAGAGATCAGTCACAAGCCTGAGGGCCGAGGGGGAGCTGGCCATCCCGGCCCCCAAGTCCCTCCTAGACCCCCCCCATTGCCCTGAGCAACCCTTGCACAGCCCGCATCACAGCCCCACCCTGCGGCAGCTTCTTCGTCCTGCCCCAACTGTGCCCAGTTCAGCCCTGCCTCCACGGGCCTCACCTGAGGACGGGGTGATGGGGGTGGCGATGAGGCCATTGGCATTGATGGCGGCCATGTGCTGCATCTGCACGGCAGCCATGGTGGCCATGGGGCTGAGGTAGGCACTGTGAGCTGCGACCAGGGCCGCCTGCTGCTGCATCAGCTGGGGAGGGGAGAGAGGAGAGTGGGCAGGCCCCGTGCTGGCCCAGCTCTCTCCCAGCTCTGGGTCTTGGCACTGGGAGGGGAGCAGGGCTGGGGGGCCAGGGAAGACGTGGAGATGGGCAACGCGTTCTGAGGAGTGCTCACGGCCTGGGTGTAGGCGCTGTAGGCTCCAAACTGGAGGGCGATGGGGCTGAACATGCCCAGCTGGGTGGCCACCTGCTGCATTCGGCGGAGACCTCGCTCCTTCTCGGTGTCAGCGAACTTCACCACTAGGCTGGATGAGGCGCCCTGGGCACGGCCCCACAGGCAGGTCAGAGGGGCAGAGTCCAGGTCTGTCCACCCCAGAGCCCTCAGGACCCAGCCTCAGCAGCCCTGGGCCTCAGCAGGGCAGCCACCATTTTGCCTGTCGAACAGAGATTTCAACCCCACCCTCTCCCAGCACAGTGTCCGAGAGGGATGCAATGACATGTATTTGCAAAGAGGAAAATCTACCGGGACCAGGAGGGCAGCACTGGCTTCACTGCGAAGCCTCTGAGCAGGAATCATCCCCACTGCGGATCAGCCAGGGCCGATGTCTAACCTAACCGCAGGCTGCCCTACCTCCCACCCCCACTCCCCAGGCTCACGGTGTGCCTGGGGGTGCAGCCTCCAACGTCAATCCCAGCCCGAGCTCCGTAAAGCCCACGTGGGAAGGTTCGCAAGGGCTGGCTACTGAACCTCAGAACTGGAAGGAGCCTAGGAGCACTCTTCCCGATGCAGATGACACCCACCCCGTTCCGAGGTGCCTGCCCAGCCCCTGCGGGACAGCTGGACAGCTGTGAGCCCTCGGACTCGGGGTGAGAAGTGTTCTCTGCTAGGGACCCCCAGAATGCAGTCGCCCCACTGCTCACATGCGAAGCAGCAGCACGGATGGGTCGAGGACACACAGGGCCTCTAAGCTAGCGTCCTAATGCCCCAACAAATGAGGGTGAGGGGACACGGAAGGCGGAAGGCGGGAGAAGAAAAGGAGATGAGGAAGGCTGAGGAATGGAGGAGGCGGGGGAGGAGGTGGGGGAGTTGGGACTGAAGAAGAAGGAGGGCTGGGGAAGATGGGAGGAGGTGGAGGAATGTTACTTGAAGTGTGAGGGTGTCCCTAAGAGGTTTGGTTCTTATGCCAGAATGTTCCTTTTGAGTAAACTCCAAGATCCTATGGTGGGCTGCCTTGCGGGCCAGCTTCCAGCAGGTGGGCCTGGGGTGGGGAGTGGGGAGCAGGGGAGCAGGGGATGGGCTCACCGGCAGGGTCCGGCTGCTGTGAAGGGTGTTGATGGCTGCCTGGGCCTCGGCGTGGGTCTGGAACTTCACGAAGGCGCAGCCTGGAGAGAGGGCGGGATGAAGGAGGAGAGGGGTGCGTGCCCCCTGGATCTGCTCCCTGTGGAACCCCTGCCCACAGTGGAGAGGGGCCGTGGGCGGCTACCTTTGCTGGTGCCGTCTGGCCCCCGGAGCACAGTGCACTCGTCTATGGTCCCGAAAGGCTCGAACATCTTCCGGACGTCCTCATCTGTCTGCTGCTTCCCTAGCATCCCCACGAAGAGCTTCCGGTCTTCTGGGGAGACACGGGTGGGGGGAGGGATGTGCAGGGTATCCCGGTGCTGGCCCAGCCCCTTCCCTTCGGCTCTCCCTTGCAGGTCCTGACACTACTGCCCCACCCTGGGGCCCAAGGTGCGAGGGTGCGCTGGGCAGAGCCTGGGGCCCAGGGTGCGAGGGTGCACTGGGCAGCGGGGTGCAGTCACCCGGAGTGCTCGCCAGGCAGAGGATGGCACTCCACGCTGGGCCTCACTTGTGCCATCTCGATGGTGGGCCAGATCTCACACCCTCTGGCCACGCTGACTCCTGTCCCTGCTTTGACTGGGAACTCTTCAGAGCCGTCGGACTTTCTTCCTCCAGGAAGAAAGGCACCCCCAGCCTCCCAGGCTCAGGGCTTAGGGGGCAGAACAGAGTGAGTCTGGAGGTGCAGGACCTACCTCCTCGGCTCTCGCTGTCGGCTGGCTTGACCTGGATCGGCCTGTTCATCTACAGGAGAGAAGAGAAGGTGGCTGCTGGGGCTCCTCTGAACCCCCGGAGCCTCCCAGGCAGGGCCCGTGGAGGGCCGAGATGCGAGCCCAGGCCCGCGGTGGCGCCAGCCCTCAAGATTTCTGGTGGCAAGGAAGGGACAGGCCCGCTCTTGTTTAGGACTTGAACCCAGGGGATCAGAGGTGGTGGGAGGGAGGATGCAGGCGAGATGCTCGGCCGGCTCCAGGCCTAGGTTGGGCCCAGAGACTTGTCCAGGGGTGGTGCTGCTCTTCTTGGGCATAAGGGGCCTGCCCATAGGACCCGGG